TCTTATCAGGCTTAAAATCCGGACCGAACAAGTAGATATTTTCTTCTGTCTTCGGAAGGGATAGCATGAAAATCAATCCCTTGCCAGCCTTATTGTTAACTCCAAGTACACACAAAGCAAGTTCCAATAACTTATGAATGAATACAATGATCACAAATTTCGATTCATAACTGGTCATCTAATAGGAAATTAGATGAAATGATCGGTGATAACCTCTTGGCAGCCTCGGCTTCAGCCTTCTTATCGTTTTTCTCGACGACACTTCGCGTTTTATCTTTGTCCCTTTGTCGTATTCGTTCAGCCAACTCATCTCGTTCCCTTATATCCTTCTCCTCTTCGGATTTTATTCTGTCCAACAAATCCGTTGCGCTCTCTTTGTCCGTATCTTTTTTCTTCTTTTTCTTTGACTGCAACAAAAGAAATTTTAATTAGAACACTTAATTCGAATAATAAACAAAAAATTAATCAGAATAATTGTCATAAGGCTCTCTCGAAGATGTCGTATTGCTGGGTCAACGTTAACCTATTCAACCTAAAAACCGATTATTCGCCGAAAATAACAAACGTTCGAAAACTTTTTGAAAAATCAAGCACAGCAAAAAAAATCAGACCAGCTGTAGCAACACTTCGGAAATTCAATGATTTAAGAGGGGACAGAATGAAATGCGTTAATCACACATACGAGAAAATGATCATTCAATAAACCAATTGCAACGGAGTTGTGGGTGCCTGGAGGAGAGCACAGGGAAGGTTTAGGAGGGGGGAGAGGAAGAGGACTCAACCAGAAGCTTCATTCTTACGAAGACGATCGCAGAATTCATTTGGAAATTACTACATTCGAGCAGTGTTAACAATTTGGAGATTTCGTTGGGCTGTAATCAATTTACAAAAGATATTATATCGAGATAAGAATAATTCAAAGGACCTCTTTTCGTTTTTTCACTGGTACCTCTGGTTCATCGTCTTCATCCGAAGAGATCAGTTTCAGTCTCTGATTCATACGCATTGTTTCACGTGCCTTTAGTTCTGCCACTGACGGTTGGGGTACTTTGGCAAGTTTTGGTGCTTTAATTACACTCAGAATTAACTTAACCAACTCAACAAGTTCAGAAGACTGTCGCAGAATATTTCTTTTGATAATATTGAACTTGTGAGTAAAATTTGTAATTATTCCAGTATTCATTTATAATTAAATTTCTCATTTGTAAATAACATTCTCGGAAATGCGATCCGTTTCGCTATTCAATATCACCTCATCAATTTTTGCATCAAAGAAATAAAAATCATTACACATATATTCTTTTTTGACCTTATCTTACTATTAGTTACGAACTCAGTAACTTTGAATGCAATCGGCAAAAAACACGGATTACCAGAACTTCAAGGAGAGCTTTAATTAATTGTATATGAAACAAACCTGCATGTGGTACCATGGAAAGTAATGACGAAGCGAAATTCCGGGTTGCAGGAGTCACTTGAATTGTATCCGTACTTTTGAATTTATCCAAAAGATCATCAGTGTCTACCGATTTACGAGCAAGTGCAATTATGAATTGTGTAATCGTTCGATCACTTATACCCAACAGAGAATGCAGTTCATCGTTTACCCACTCTTCCACAGACATATTGTGATACTGAAAAAATAATTTTGATCATTACTGAGAAGATTTCTTTACGAACGAAAACATTACGCAGCATGAAGTTTCACAAAAATAATTACACATTTTTACTGTCCATATTCTATTCCATATTTTTACTATTTACTACCTTTTCACTATTTAGTATTTTACTATCATTAATAAATTTGAGCAATCTGGAGTGCATTCATAACTCAAGAATAACTTGAAATAACTTAAAATATAACGATTTTAGCTTCTGCTAAATGTAACATAT